GTGTGTGTGTGTGTGTGTGTGTGTGTGTGTGTGTGTGTGTGTGTGTGTGTGCTGGTAATGGGTACTAGAGATGAATGATGTTAGTTATGAGAAATTAATGTATCACAGCAGCATCATGGGCAGATGCATTATAATGCATGGATACTTGTCCTTGCGTTTTGATTTTGAATATGTAAAAAAGTACATTGGGCTCCAGAACTTGGTTAATTTAACCTTGAGCTGTTAGGCTCCCACGAATAGACACAATTTAGAGTGGTCTTGCCATCATCGCTGATTCCAGCCCGCACTATGACACTGCCTTTACCGAAAATTATTTGTTTGTCTGAAGCAAGCTGGGATGTAACCTTTATAGTGCAGTCAAAAATTCGTTGCGCGACTTATTGTCAAATATCTCCTCAACTACCGTTGCACAGTGACTTGCATCAATTTGTCTTAACAGATCAACATTTTTGTAAACACCTGCAAGCTGCATTCTAGAAAATTCAAATAAATACTAATAAAAAAATCCAAGTGGGTGGTTTCTACATATTTTTAAATGTTTACAGCTGAGGCAATATTGTTTTTAACACCAAGTCTGTCAGGTTTTTCTGATGGGGACGTTAAGCTTAATGAAAGCATAGTTTGAGAGCCATTAGTGCAAAATGCAACTGCAACTATAACAATAATTTCTTGTAACAAGTTTTGCAAGTGAAAATTGTCATTGATGAGCTGTGACGTAGGCCATATGCCCAATCAAAATGTGTGTGAGAAGGGGGAAGGGGGAAAAACAATACCATTTTACGCGTGACAGAGATTTCAAGTATTTTATATAAATTTATGAAGACAAGTTTTTTTAATCCAGCCCAAATTGTTCTGGAAGAAATATGATTTAGTTAATTAGACAAATTGATACAAACTGCTATGCAAAGTATGGATGTCATTGCCCCGTTATTTGAGGAAAAGTTACTCCACGAATTTTTGACCGCACTATAGTTGGGTCTTCTGTAGACTCTGGCCCTTCCATCGTGCCGTCCCAGTCGAAAGTGGGTCAGCTCTGAAAACATGTACGACGCATTCCAAATACGACGTGGCCATTTCTCGCGATGCTGTGCCCAGTGAAGTCTAGCACGAAGGTTCCCCTCTTTCAAACGAAGACGAGTTATCATCATCATAATCACCATCATCATCATCATCATCATTATAATCATCATCATCACCATCATAATAACAACCATAATAAAAATCACAATAGCAATACCTACACTTATATAGCCTGTATCTATGCTCAACAGTAGGCTCTGGGTAGTGTACAATTATTATTACCCCAGCAGACCCTCTCAGTTTCCCAGGAGGCATGCAGCGGAAGCTGCGGATTACACATGCTCAAATACTAACAGACTGACAAGATCTTTCGCCATCTACAGCCGGTTACCCATTCCCTGTGTGGAGCTAGGGAAATTTTTTTAAAGTGCCTTTCCCAAGGACACAACGTCAGGCCCATAACTGGGTTTGGACCCACCACCCTTTGGTTGCAAGCCCAAAAGCCTGTACACTAGACCACCACTGATATGGTAGACCTGTATGAAGTTTGTCTACATGTTATAGAATATATGTGAGGCAGCGTTGTGGAATCAGGCTCTCGTCAATTTTTGGACATGTAGAGTTATTGGTATCATCTTAATGCTTGTTCAATTGTCTTTATTTTGATGAAAAAAATATCCATTTATCTTGAATTCAAGTCTAGATATTTGCGAAAGAAGGAGGTGGGGGTCACCTGTTTTCAGAGGTAAAATTAATGAGAAAATGGCCGCCAAAGATTAGTTATTTCCTTAGCTTAAGAGTCCGAGGTAACTGAAAATGTACATTTTTTGTGCCTTTAATCAATGTTTTTCAGAAAAATTTCCACAGAAATGAGTTCTTCAATAGACCTGAAAGGTGTTGAGCCAAAAAACAAAAATTTGATGAAAATTCATAAACGTGCGGAAAAATGCAGTTTCTTCACTTTGATTATTTTGACGAGAGCCTGATTCCACCATGCTGCCTCACATATCTTTTTAATTTAAAAACTCCAAAGTGACAATAAACCCCTTCTTCATCTTATGACAAATAAATGAACAATGTACAAATCTGCTTTCAACATTTGGATCATTGCCTATATTTGCAGCCAGGGCTGACAGGAGTCACAGCAAATATCAATTTTCAAAAGAAAACAACAAAATATAAATACAGATCAACAGAACCAAACCTACAAATAGTCGCTTTCAAGGACAAGCAGATTAACCCAGATTTCAGGGGTTACCAGAAATCTTGACCTACATCAAAAGTGGGCACTGCCCTACCTATAGGAGAAGTTTGGTTGCATTGGTGTGTATATTTGTTTGGTTATAGAGAAAACTCTCCCCTTGTCTTTCAAAGAAACTGAACAAGGGGCAAAAGCTTTACCTTCGATTTTCTCAAAACAGCATTTTTCAGGATAGCCCCCCTGTGCTTAAAAGTGACCAAATAAATCCTGTGATCTACAAATTTTTACTGTTTAGTCCACCAAAATAATTCAGTAACTCATAATAGAATATTCTTAAAACTTGAAGTTGTGATTAACAAAACCACAAATCATATAACTCATTGGTTATAGATAGTAATTCAAAGACAAACTTTATGAAAAGTTATGACATACTCAACCTGTCATGAGGTAAGAACTAGAGCTGGGCAAAGACTCGATTCCGGAACCGATCCCCACTATTAATGCTATGGAAGAAAAGTTCCGACTCCTTTTTACTTAAAACAACGGTTACCAGTCCATTCAATCATAAAAATCATCTTATTTGAAAAAAGAAATTGTTTTGAAAAAATAAAAGTTGATGCTTCGTAGTGTTCCGAAAACAAGGTTATCCTAAATCCTGAAGATGTTCGGAGCCAACCAGATAACTCCCGGAAGAAATCACTTTATTAGAAAGTAAGTAATTGGGTTCGGAGTCGATTCCTACGATTCCTCCTAGGTTTCAATAATCGGGAACCTATCCGCCCAGCACTAGTAAGAACTCACCTTAAACTTCCGGCCACTCTTCACCTGGCCCTCTGGATGAATGCACTGGAAGCAGGATGGTCTCTTTGGATCACTTTCATCTTCACACATCCATTCAAATACAAATGGTTCATTGGTTGGATTCACAATGCCAAACTCTCTGAAAAATTACAAAAGATGAGAATTATTTAGTAATGAAAAAAAAAAAAGAAGAATTATTAAACAGTGAATGAAAATGAAGGAGAGCAAATAAAATGTTTGTATTAATAACTGCATTTTATTTTATAAACAGTATTTTCTGACTTTATTCACACAAAAACCGACGGCTCAGTACTCAAAGACTGTCTATTCAATAAACAGCATATAATAATAATAATAATAATATATAACATTTATATAGCGCATTTCCAAAAAAGTAGCTCAATGCGCTTTACATTGGAATACCCATTTTTCAAAAACCTTTCTTACTACTTCCTTTCTTCTCATGCAATATACATTAATGCACACACACACACATGCACACACACACACACACACAGAGACTATTTTCATCCAGACATAGGAACAGAACAAATATAATGAAAGATAACGTTAAAAGCTTATGAAGGATAGGCCTGTAGGAACAGAAAATGTTTAAGATGTCTTTTGAAGCTATCAAGTGTTCTTATTTGTCTTAGTTTCATGGGTAATCTGTTCCACATAAATGGACCAAGATATGAGAAAGATCTCTCTCCATATGATTTGTATGATTTTACAGGTGTCACAAGTAGGGTGTTATCGTTTGATGATCTTAGGTTTCTCCCTGGTTTATATATACTGATATCAAGCGTGATTACATAACCTGAAGGTACATATTTACTATTTACTGAAAGACCAGGCAAAATGACTGACTTACTTGTAACACCTCACTCCTGTGCCACACACATTGAACTCTATGACCCTTGTGTTGGGGTCAAGGGTCGAGCCAGGGGGAGCACCACCAGGGCCTCTCAGCTCTGGGTTTCGGCGGGCACTGCTCAGGTAGTCAGAGTCTTCCAGCTCGAAGTGGCAATAGGGCATGAGGCTGCGACCTTTGAGGCCGATCACTGGTCCTTGCTCCTCCTTGCTCATGAATGGAATGCTATGAAAGTAAACCAAACAAAAAGATGATTCTTTCACTCTGTGAATTAATTTTATTTAAATAAAGAAAACTGCCTACTCGCTATAAGAATTGAAAAATAATTATATGCTGTGCTTTGGTAGCAGGGAAATTTTAATGAGATTTTCTTTACATCTGAAGACTACATGGGAGAAAAAAAACAGCACCTTCACATTTAAAAACACATTTACAGTCATCATCTGAAGACTACATGGGAGAAAAAAAATAGCACACTCACATTTAAAAACACATTTACAGTCATCATCTGAAGACTACATGGGAGAAAAAAACAGCACATTCACATTTAAAACACATTTACAGTCATTCCCTATGATGCTACTTTAACACAACATAACAAATAATGGCAGAAAACCAACAGGATTGGTATCAAAATATAGGGAGAAAATGTTCTAGGCTTTAAAAGAGATATGTGGTTCTAAACTTGAACACTAAGATATCTCAAAATCACCAAATGTAATACTCCTCTATTTTTTTCTCCTGATGTGTAAAAGTTTCGGTAGTTACTAACTCCTTGTCTCACTTTGTGGGTTAAATCTTTCCAAGACAAAACTAAGTTAATTGGGGGGGGGGAGGAGAGATTAGTATTGTACACAATGATCAAATGACATGAAATGAATGATAAAGAAAGAATTTTACTCTTAACGTCACCAAGATTCAGACAGCACAGACTGAAAGTAAATTCTCCTCATATTACACACAACACCAAGAACAAAGGGCACATCTTGAGAAGAGAAAAAAAAAGTTGTATGAACCCAACTCCATCAGCTTTACCTGCAAATGAGTCTTCCCTCATAGTCGTTGGAATCAAGTGGAGCAAACTTGACAACACAGGAGGCCGACTTGCCGGCTGGAATGGTTCCAAACTGGGGCTCCACCAGGAAGGGGATGTACGACGTTTCCACCACGTCCACTCGTGACTCGGGCCTCTCTCCCTCGGACATGAAGGTGACAGAGCGTTGCATCATGGGAGTGAAGCTGTCCATCAGCACTTGCCAGTTGTAGTCGAGCGCCACCTGACCCTCGTTCTGGAGCAGGACGCTGTTAGGAAAGGAAAAAAAACGGTCAGTAACATGAAAACAACACTATAGTTTTTAGTTTTAGTAGAGGTTTTACGGCACTCCCAACAGCATACGGTCATATGAGCGCCAAGGGTGGATGTCAACAGAGAAGTCCTTACAGGGTATCAGACTTACTCTGCTCACCTCTCTCGCTTCAACAGCACAAAGTGTGCTTCAACTATCAAGGCACCCCGGAAATAGCGGGTCACAAGAGTGTGACAAACATACCAAAGAAGTAGAGGAAAATGAGGATAGTAAGGATTAGGAAAGAAAAAGCAGCAGTTCCCTGTTGTAGTTCAGGCACAGTGTTATGAGTATGACATTGTTGGATCAATCCACTTACAATTTTACTGTGCATTAGAACGAGAAATGTCCCCCCTTTAGGAATGGCCTGAAGACACTTCAGTCCGTGGCACCACCCCGGGGGGTAGCACAACACTGACAACAAGCCTCTTACCCCATTCCCTGTGACAGTCCCCCCACTCCTTTCATTTAAACCAATCCTATATTTCTTTCAAACTTAGATTCTTTCATTTGTTTTCACTGAATTTAAAATGTCCATCCACGCGCTCAAACGGGTTTTGTGGAGGTACAGCACATGGTCACAAACAACAAGTTCCCAGAAAACAAAGAAAAATGTCGACTCTCCTTTGATTAGAACCCCAAACTTTTATGTGATGGTCAAGACACTGATCAGCCCTACTAAACAGTGGCCAACTAACCATGAAGAGTGAAAAGAACATTTGGCAAACAGAGATAAACTGCCTTAGAATTTACTATGCGTAAGCACAACAATTGCCATCTTTTGTTCCAGGACAGATTTTTATAAAAATAATAACACTGAAAAGGTGTAGAAAGAACAGAAGGCAGTACAGTGTTCATCAACCATCGACTGTTCAGAAAAGGAATCCTATTTTGACATCAAGATTTTGTTGCCTCTCCTTATCATTCATATTTTAAATAGATATATTTGATAATAATTGATAGATATATTTCAAAACAAGCACTATAATATATTTTTTTTTAAATATAGGTATTTTTACTCCCTTTCGTCACAATTTAAATCATCTATGAGGTGGGCTTCAACCCTGCCTGATGAGGTCAACCCAGGTTCAAAAGGATAAAAAATCCCAGCCGAGAGACCCAGATACTCTATTTATATTCTCTCCATTGAGAATCAAACTCAGGTATTCTACCTGCGACGAGGAAGCACCTAACCGCTACACTACAGACACTGGTTTTCTCTTCAAAGAGAGCGTGCAATCACAACCTATGAATGTAACAGGAATGATGCATCCATCAATGACTCATCACCTATACACTCTGGTCTGGAACATGAGTGTGTCCTTGAAGTGGACGCTCTCCACCTTGCAGGTGCACTGGGTGAAGTCAGAGATGGCGGAGATGAGCAGCTCCACGGTCCGGGTGCTCTCAGCCACCTCTGTGTACTGAGGCTCTGGCTCTGTCTCAATCATCTTCTTCTTGGCTGGCCTGTGAGTGCGTGGGGTTGTTGGGATGTTGGACTTGCTTGCACTGGTGGAAAACATAAAATAGTGCTAAATTTATACCCCATCTTGCCATATTTTTTGGTTACTGTTGATGAATAAACTCATCGCTTGTTAAAAACATAAAATAGTGCTTAATTGATACCCCATCTTACCATATTTTTTGGTTACTGTTGATGAATAAACTCAACGTTTGTTAAAAACATAAAATAGTGAATAATTTATAACCCACATCGTCATATTTTTTGGTTACTGATGATGACAAAACTCACTACGAGTTAAAAACATAAAATTGTGCAAAATTTATAACTCATCTTGCCATATTTTGTTGGTAACTGCTGAGCACTAAATTCGCTGCATGTTGAAAACACTAAAAAGTACAAAAATCAGGATCCATCTTGCCATCATTTTTGGTTGCAATTAATGGCTAATCTAGAAGAAGTCATGCTTCAAAGTGACTTGATCAGAATGAATATGAAATGGTTTTGCTTCAAGTCCATATAGTAATCTATTTTAGGTAGAAGAAAACAAAACAAAAAACAGGATAGACAAAGAAATAAACCTGTATATCAATTTATAAATCATCTATACCTTCTGACTTTATTAGATACTAATACATGAATGTATATTTAGTCAGTGATAAAATAGGAATTTACTTTTCAAACTAAGGAATTGTACTAAAGATGGCGGCAGCTAATGCACCTATAGTTTTAATTTTTGTGCATTTCAAATATGGTAATAACAGAATAATACTGAACAGTATAAGAGTGCAAGTGAACAATCGTAACAGAGCTTTTAAAAAATGATGACTGTTGAAATCCAATTGTTTAAAAAAAGGTATCCAGAAAACTGAATAAAAAGTTCCACAAAATCAAGTTTGATCCACCAACTGCGGTGAAAATAAAAATCCAAACAAGAGCCAAAATTTTCTCTGATCAGAAAAAAATGGAAAAGAGGTGAGTACAAACGAGTTCAAAATTTCCACCATGTCTTCTACTGAGTGCGACTTGCGTTCTTCTGCTTCACTGCCCGATGCTGGGCTGTCCAAGGATGAAAGGGGAAATCTAGGTCTCACCAAGACTCTTTACAAAACACATCATAATTCGTCTGCAAATTACATGTATGCAGAGTTGTCCAGAGAAACACAAAAGATGAAATAGATGTAGATTCTGTTCTTAAATTCAATAAAAGGACTGATATAATTCATTAGGAAGAGAATATAGTAGGTAGTATTTTATTGGCATTCAAAGTCTTAGGGAGCAAGCACAGTCCACAGCCTTTACATTTTCATGGGAACACAGAACGAGGGCCACAAAGAAATCGGAAAAAAACCAACTTGAGGACATTTATAGTTCTCTTACCTGTCAGCTGTCTGGACTGGGGATGGTGGAATGTCCACCCACTTCACCACCTGAATCTTGTCATCCCAGTCACAGATCTTTAAAAAAAAGTAAACATAAAAAAGTTAGTTTTTCACACATTCTCAATATCTGAAATTACAGTTCAAAAAGCTAAATTAAGAACCATCCGAAAAACAAATTTTAACTTGGTTTCACAATATTAAGCAACATCTTACATGCAGACAAAATGTGGCATAACGCAAGCATGAGAACAAATCTTTCACCTGATCGATGGGCTTGTCAAAAACGATCTTTGACACCTTGCACTGAATGGGGCACTCGGCAAAGGTCTTGGGAGAGTCTGAGTTGAACGTCACTGCAACATCTTTGGTGCAGCTTCCATGGAGGTGGCCCATCTGAAAAAACACACACAGGACCGTGTAGCTGTAAACAGTGAGTAATATGCTCGGTCCTGTACATCAAAGTAAAATTATCTTGTGTTTATTTCCATTTCTTTTCTTTATTGGTACGAGCAGTATCTTCCTTTCTTCACTGGTCAAACAAACTACATGTATAATTTTTTGGGTGATCTTTTACAAAGAGTGAGTACACATGTCTTAAATCTTTAAATATTTAATGCCAAAAGATTTAAAGCATACAAGAAATTAAGTGTGTGTATCCCCCCCCCCCCCCTTTCTGCTTCTTGAGTCTGAAATTAATAAGAAATATTTTACAAAAACATAAAGTATTCCAAATTATCTTCTATCTACAATACCAAAAGCATGATGAGAGGTTCCACTTTACCTGCGGTGAAAATTTAAGCTGTGGATGGTCAGGCCACTTGAACCGTACACAGTCAGTCTTGGAGTGGTTGGTCATTGTGAGATTCAAGGTGCGTGTCTCATTGATGTAGCAATCTCCGAACTGCATGAGGTTTGGCTTGGCAGCTGTGGGAAACATTACACAACAGTTGTTTAGTAACTAAAACAAAGTCTAGTATTAAAGATAGAGTTAAAGCATTGGAACACAGAAAACATTTTCTTCTTAATTTGTAATAATGAGCAGATGACAATGATGGAACGTCACTTGACTCCTGCTACATTTAAAAACTCTCTGCATTTTGTCTTTACTTATCATTTGATTTATCAATTACTTTAATATGTATATAAATATATAAGACATACTTCGTAATTGAACACACAAACACACACCTCTTTTTTCCCTAAGCATAACAGATAATGAAATCTAAGAGATTGAAAAAAAACAGCGGTTCTATTTCACTATGCCTTTAAACTGTGCATGTGTTAGCAAACCTATTGTAATAAATTTTAAAAAAATATTACAATGAATTATTTTTTTTACTGTAAGAAAACAAAAACACATAAAACTCAACAAAAATTGCATCATGAATAAATATGAAAAGATGACTTTTCTGATCTCTAACATGCAAAGCATCAGCCATCAACTCTAGCACGCACAGTGGACACGAAAGGCTACATATGAAACAACATGCTATTATAGCTAGGGCTGGGTCACGAGCGCGAGAACGGAACTGAATCGCCACTCTTTCCTGCGGAACGCTATTCATGATTCACTTCAGCGGAACGCGGAACAGTATCGCCAAACGATTCCCGATTCACTCCCCTGTCGCTGTCACCACCTTGTGGCTAGTTTAACCTACTGTTGAGTCGAGTCACGAGCGCAAGAACGGAACGGAACACTTAGTATGGCTCCCCTTATTTTACAAAAGATGGTATAGTCCAACCCCCCTATTAAAACAAAATGAACGGGGTCCAACCAATAGACAGAAGGAATTTTATGGAAAAATTGTTTTAGCGAATGGTGGGGTTGGGGGGGGGGGGGATTTATGGGGGTTACTAATTGAGGTCAGTTAATAGAGCAGCGCAAACAAAGGGTGTGGAGTGGAGAGGATGGCGGAACAACAAGAGTGGGACTCGCGCTCGCCAAGAGGCGTTGATATGACACTGTTCCATTTCAGTCAGTGTTCCGCCACAGCTCCACGAACGCTCGCGTACTCGGGTACTCGCGATTCATTGAAGCCGACTGAATCGCGAATCGCCACTCTCAAATTTGACGAGCAGGATCCAGCCCTAATTATAGCTACTCCCAAACACAAAATACAGTGGTGTCCACCTAACAGCAACGCCTGTGGGAAGCAAACCTTGACTGCCGTTGGGCAGAGGCTGCTACTAACTGAATTTTCAAAGAAAGGTGATCACCTACCCACCCACACCCTTTAGACAGACACACAGACACACACACACACACGCGCGCACGCGCACACACACACACACACACACACACACACACACAAACATACACACACAAGCCCAAATTGCGAGGTAAGGTGATGTTATTAAGTCAAGAGTGAAAGCATAGGCAATACTATTAACAGTGGCTAAGACTTCTGCCCCTAGCCAGGGAACCCTTGAAGGAAGTTGGCCTCTAAGTGAAAGGGTGTGAACAGAGCTTCTGTACTTAGTACAGTGTATTTTTGCCCTAACTAGGTGTTGAGAAACTAGAAAGTATTAAGAAGAACCAGACAGAGCCCGGTCAGAGATGAGGTGGGAAGAGGACGTTGGCGATGGATTGGACACACTCTCAGGAAGTCAAGCAGCTGCATAACAAGAAAAGTGTTAGATTGGAACCCACAGGGTAAAAGATCAAGGGGAAGACCTCGTGGAACCTGGAGAAGAGTCACGGAAATGGATGTACAGAAAAGTGGGAAGACGTGGAGTGACATCAAGCGACTAGCCCAGGATAGGGAAAGGTGGAGAGTGTTTGTTCGTGGCCTATATCCTGACCCAGGGTGAGAAAGGCAATGATGATGATGAGGTGTTGAGAAGAGGTATGCATGCAAACTGAAATTATAGGCATCTCTGTGTTCACACAGTTTTTGAATTGTCAAAATACATTTTTCAAGGACAGTCTATGGCAATAAAGGTGCTATTAAACAGGATTATTTATATAGAAAAATTACTGTTTCACAAGCTTAGGTTGCTGTTAGGCTGATCACGAACTCAGGGCTTTCCTGTCGTATCTTCATTTTTAATAAAAGTGAAAACAGTTCATAACAAAGAGTGAGCTTAAGAAGAAGTCACATTTTCACTGTTTAATTAAATGGAGATACGACAAGAAAGCACGAGGTCGCGAGATGTTGCTCTTATATCTGAGCTGCTGATAAGTAGACACCACTTTATTTTAATTTGATACTACAAATGAAATAAATGAGCTTCTTGGATTTTTTCAAGGCATATCAACAAACTCACAGTTCTGCTAAACATGGCATTCTCATGATGTATGCACAGAAAAATAACATCTCTTATACACTCTATAATAATAAAACATAAATAACGACACAAATTTACAAAATCCAGACAACACCCACCCCCCTCAATCAGTTGCTTAAGTCTGGTAATAGAAACTTTTCAATCATGAAAACATGACTTTGCAAAATTGAAGATATTGCAGGGTTTTTTCCTCTAAAAAACACCCAAATAACACAATCTATTCACAGCATTCCGTGACGTCACTCTAAGATTTAAAGTGACAAAAGCTCCATGCTAAAAAAACCTCTAGATCAAAACAATTAAAACAAAAAGGTCTTTTCGATTAAGCGTTAAGTTCAGCATTGTTCTGATCATAATCTGTGTGATTCTCATTCCTTATTTGTGATTCAAGATACAAAAGCTGTAATCTAAGAAAGAGAGTGAAAACTGCATCACAAAATTGAAAAGACATTCAAATCTTGCTTAAAATAGCATTTCAGCATGGTATTGGAATTTCCATTTGATAAATAGCTGAACAGCAAAAGATATGAGCTGTTTGACTTGTTAGACTATTAGATTGCTTATTATCAATATTTAGAAGGGAAACAATAAATCCTGGATTGTTGGTCCCTATATTGCCATGATTAAGTTGAATTATGTCCCTGTAATTGTACTTTTTTTTTTTATCTATCCTCACAACAAAGATTGATCTTAGTGATCTTTACTCACTCCTCCTTCCTGTTTTAATCACATGTACTCATTCTCATTATGATTTAGTCTTGTCAGTGAAGCCAGAGAGGGCAGACCTCACATCATTTTGTTATTAAATCAATCTTCTTCATCTAGAAACTGAGTTTTTTTACTTTTGTCTTATTAAATACAATAATGGCAAACAACCCCAGTGCAACATGACTAACAATGACATCATTTGACAAAAGAAACGTGAACAAAAACAAAATGCTGTCACACAAAAAAACGAATAGACATCTTTGTGACACATTCTAAAGGACATTATACCTGCACATCAGATATAAGGAGCAGAAAACATCACTTTGTACTATCAGTATGAACTACTAAACTAAAGAAAAACTGAGGTATTCATATACCACGATTCGCAATTGAACAGAAAATATCAAATTCTTCAAACCATCTCTACTAACACAACCAAAACAAATAACATAAATAATCCCACGACAATAGATACCAGGCATTTCATTGTCATCTTCTGCAGCTTTTCTAAGATCTATTTCAGAAGGAAATTCTTCCTCTCCATCTAGACGTGCAGGGAAAAAGAACATTTCACAACATAGTTGATTTGATGAAGGTAGTTTTGTCGTCAGACACACAAGCAGAAGACAATCACAGACAGCATTAAAAATCATCTGCCACACTTTTCTAATTGTAATTGTCAATGTTTTAAGCCCCCATCAACACAACTACTATTCTTTTCTGACAACTTTCCTAATGGTTGGATATAGAAATGCAAAACAGTTGTAAAACAATCACACTGGTGCCCAAGTACGTGATCGACCATTGACAGGACAGGGTGTGCGTGTCACTGATAATGTAACTTGATATCAGATCTGTGTTGAAAAAAGTTCTACCCGCTATTGGGGGATAATTTTTTCTTATCTAATACTGCTTCTGAGCAGCAGAGATCATCGAGATGAAAAAATTCATTTGCTAATGTGCTAAAAACATAGCCATGGTCACACCACAAGCCAATTCGAGAATATCCAGTCATCAAAACTAATGAAAATATTGGTAATACTAAATGTGAGGCAGCGTGGTGGAATCAGGCTCTCGTCAATTTTTGGGCATGTAGAGTTATTGGTATCATCTTAAAGCTTGTTCACTTGTCTTTATTTGGATGAGAAAAATATCCATTTATCTTGAATACAAGTCGAGATATTTGCGAATGAAGGAGGTGGTGTCACCTGTTTTCAGAGGTAAAATTAGTGAGAAAATGGCCGCCAAAGATTAGTTATTTCCCTAGCTTAAGAGTCCGTGGTAACTGAAAAAATTTTTTTTGTACCTTTAATCAACGTTTTTCAGAAAAATCCACACAGAAATGAGTTCTTTAGTGAACATGAAAGGTGTTGAGCCAAAAAACAAAAATTTGATAAAAATTCACAAACCTGCTGAAAAATGCAAGTTTCTTCTCTTTGATTATTTTGACGAGAGCCTGATTCCACCACGCTGCCTCACAAATGTGTTTTCTGGAACACTCCAGCTAAAAGTGTTTGTCAGGACGCGTCTATAACCATTGGCAAGTTTGATGTACTTTGCCTACGAAGTACTTATAGTTCCTAAAAGGCTTATTTTTTCTTGAACACTGCAACATTGGAATCAATAATGTGAGATGGAAAACATGGAACTATTTTTGTCAGTTATTATGAGAAAAAAGCTAAAACCACATCACTCCACTCACCTTCCACATCATCATCAGCCATACTGCCAATTTCCTTCTCTGGATCGATGGGAACAAAGACAGAGCCAATGTTGTCGAGAGTGATGTCATCCTCATAGCCCTCTCCGACCATCTGCACAACCGAGTCCTCATACTGGTTGTCCGTCACGGTGACCTTCAGGTTAGCTTGTGACCTTTGGGCAGCACACGGCTTGTAGACAACCTCAAAGGTGGCCCTCTCTGTTGGGTTGACAATCACAGAAGCGGTGTGTGGCTTGCGTCTTGTCTCTGAAATAAGTAAAATCATAGAAATAAAAAACTCCAGTAAATTTCGGTTGTGATTTTGTGACATCACAAGTTGGTGCTCATCAATAACAGAGATATGATTCACCTTGTCGCTGCCACAAGCAATCCACTTACATCCAAATTTTGAGAATTTTCTGTCTTTACACCTTCTCAAAGATGCACATTTCAACATCACCAAAATACAGTTCAATGCTATGATCAAGGCTTACATTATTCCTCCTTTTCATAATTCTTGATAAGAACAACACAACTATTAGACGTAAAAAGTACCCTAGTGGACTCAAGTGGGTTGCTTTTGGCACCCACAGTCTTCTAGTCATATGATACACTCAACACAAATCAAGGATGCAGCTGTCCACAGCCCAAGTTTGATCTGAGACATGTATGAAATTGGAATTAATTGAGCAAAAACAGTTCTCTGAAGGATTTTTCTGTCAAAAGACATAAAGGCACCTAATCCAAACATTTCAACTTTGATTAAACGCAACTTCAGCACTGCGTACGAACAAGCTTATTAGCAAAGATCTGTTGGATACCTTTGTCATCATAATTGATATCTCCTATGGCATCTCTAGTGGCCTTTGTGGGTTTCAGCATAAAGGTACCTAATCCAAACATTTCAACTTTGATTAAACACAACTTCAGTACTGCCTACGAACAAGCTTATTAGCAAAAATCTGTTGGATACCTTTGTCATCATAATTGATATCTCCTATGGCATCTCTAGTGGCCTTTGTGGGTTTCAGCATAAAGGCACTGTCAGGGTCAAGGAGATCAATGTCCACCTGAACAAAGAGAGAAACAGGTCAGAATCAATGACACTTTTAGTTTTAGTTTTAGTAGAGGTTTTACGGCGCTCGCAACTACATAAGGTCATATGAGCGCCAGAAGATTAGAGGTGTTACAAGAGAGTAACAAACATAAAAAAGAAGAAGGGGAGATAAGGACAATAGATGTTTGATAGGAAAGAAGAAGCAAACCACACCAGAGCACCCGCCAACCACCCACTGACACTTTTAGGGCATAAAAAACAAACAAAACAAAATAAAACACAGGTTAAAAGAAAAAAACCAAAACACAAAGATGTCGATATCAACACTTTCTCATGCTATATTCCCATTTTCTCAACACCAGGCACCTTTTGAACTTACAGAGTTGGTAAAGTATCTTGTCTGTAAAATTTCACTCAATAGATTTACAAAAATCTTTTACCGAAGAACTTAAACAGTGAATTCATTCCATTAAAAAATGCTGTTATTTCTCAAAATAAACATTAGAGACATTCTAGGCTGCAATTAAAGCAGGTGTGCAGTAGAGCCTACAGAGTGAAAATTTTCCCATGATTATTTTTGGGTCTGACATTGTAGAGCCACAACCACCAGGTAAACTTCCTAAACTTGGATAATGTTTCCATACTTCTTTCCGACGCATGTGAAGTTTTGCAGTGTTTTACCAAAATATAATAATAAAAATAAATAGCATTTATACTGCGCATTTCCATTTCCTAAAAGATGCTCAATGCGCATTACAATGAAAAAGACATCACATCTTAAAAATTAATCGACACAAATGTGTACGTAAAACAAAGTATTATACATATAATATAAATGCATATGTGTAAAATTTTATACCAGAAAAACAGTCTCGCAGTGAGGTTGAAAATATAAATGAATGCACTCCTGCAGTTACTTGATGGTGCAACTTCCGCCTTAATTCAGGCATGAGCAATCAGAGAAGAAAGTGTAAATTTAAAAAAAGAGAAAATAAACAACTTTTCCCGCTGTGGTCTCTTCCCTTTACCTTGCTTGGCAATGTGCCTTCATTGAGCAGTACAAAAGGAAGGGATTCTGTCCTGCCCAGAAGGATCCTCTTGAACAAAAGTAAGGGTTGCCCTCTCTTGTTCCTTACGGTGGGCTTGGCGATAGTTATGCGGGGTAGATTGCCCTCCCCAGAGACCTCGAACACGAGTGACTTTCCTCGGGCCTGGTTTGGCGTGACCCCTTCAATCGCTGCCTCGAACACAGCACTGTATGTCTGAAGAGTGAAAGAAAATGTTCAAGATACATATATTTTAGGGAAGTGAACAAAAAGAAAGCAATTTTGAACATGAGACTTTTGGAGGATATATGCACTAAGAAAGTTAAAACTAAACTGTATTTTAAATCTCCTACTGACTTATAACAGTTGCTGTAGTTGTTATTATGAATCCAGCATATGAGCTTTTTCACCTAATTCAGTTAATGATATGATGCTTGCAGATCCACTTCAATTCTTGTTTGGGTCTATAAATTGCATTCTCAGTCTTGAGATATAAAGAAAGACGAGATTGTTCTAGAAATAAATGAATGGGAAACATTAACATTATCCAATAAGACTTTTAAAAAATCTGCTACCAAAGCTCTAAAGTTGTAAAAACAAGAAATCATTCACAAAGCCCTCTTTCATGGTTAATAAGAAATGTTAAGGATCTCAAAACTCCAATAGCATTTAAAATAAAATAAAAATAAAAATCCTTTTCTTTGCCATTCTTTTTCTTTCATTTTATCATCATTCAATTAAAAATAAACGATTTTTAACCTTGTTTTTAAAAATATATCTTTCTAAAGTAAAAGGTTCTACTAAAGACAACGGTTTTACCTGCATGGAAGGTGGTGTGAAGGTCACTGTGGCATACATGAAGCTGTGATTGGCAATTTGCATGCGAGGGGGGTCCAAGTCAAACACATCCTGGGTCTTTGGAGCTCCTTTCACCTGGACAGGCTTGAGGGTAAACACTACATCACAGGGCACCTGAAACAAACATTGCAGTAAAGATCTCAGAAACTTAGAGAAATTCTATTAAAAAAAAAGAAACTGTAATAAAAATCAACTTAAAAATTAAACCAAAAAGCATCATCTTTAGTGTAAGAAGTTACTGCGATGCACACGTGGCCCCGCTTTTCCTGTATCTTCATAGAAATTCAAGTATATTCTGAATGGAGTACTCAAGTAGACTTTTACCGAAAATGTTGCTAAAAAATTATGTCGTTCAGTGATTAAGGACAACTGTCATGAAGAAAGGATTCTTTGTATTAATAATTTGTAAATATATTTACTGTCAGACAGAAATTATTAAAACTCCAGAAGTGAAATGATCAAAGTAATAAAAAACTGCAACATCATGACTTTACCTCCATTTAATTTTCACTTTAATCAGAATTTTGATCTTTCTACTTTTAGGTCTGAACCAGCCCTGCCAATATTTAAGAGATATTTTCACGAGTGTAAATATATCAGACGATTGTTAAATCAAATAAGATATGAATGGATTTGTTTTATGAAGGAAAAGTTAATTTGTTCTTTAAAGTATATATTTTCCCAGCCATTTTGCAGCAATTATTCATCATATTAAAAGGAAAGAGATGTAGAAACTTTGAGAATTCAAGTGGCACATATGTAATTACAGGAAAGCTACTAAAATTCTAAAGCCAGGGGAATTTTTCATTAATCTAACAGTTAAAATTGATTCTTATTGAAATAATATAAGAATAAAAGAGATAACTCTAAAAACCTTCAACTCACCTTGTTTGTGTTAGAGATCTTGAAACGAGCTTTTGCTTTCCTTCCGACAATGACATTGTTGAAAACAAATTTCTTCTCCTCTTCTCCAAAAACTCCGTTAACATCCAAGTTGCCACAGTTCATGTGCTGCCACACCGACAGGTTCTTGCAAACACGGTGCTCCTCAAAGATGCTTCCTACATCATCCACATTGATGGTGGGGATGCATGCTTCTGCCACGAGACGGTATGGAACGCCACCTTTGAAAGTGGTGGGATCTCTCTCGGTGATATCGATGCTGATATCCTACAAAACAAAAAAAAAAAAGAATGCAAGACATCTTCATGCAAAAAGATAGGCAAAGAAACATAAATCACCTACCACAAGTGTCTAGAGGAGAGGAAAGAAAAGGTAGAGATGGGAATCAACAAATAAACCTAAGAAAATAAACTTTTCTTACTTAAGATAATCTCGGGGGTAGTGGCAACGGAACAGGTTTGAACTTCAACCAACATCTCATTTTCACATATAGCCTCAATTTTCCAAGTAGAACATACTGCCATTTTCCATTTTTTTAGGTGCTCTGAGTTACCAGATACCGACTTGTATATTTGGGGACTTGTTCATAATTTTTCTCTGGCAGCCCCCCTTTGCTAAATTTCATCGAGCAAGGAACCTACTAGTTTTTTATCCTTACCTCAGAAGACTAGTAGTTCAATGCTACTTATCCTACAATAAAGAGATGTAAAATAAACAGGGGCCCCCCAAAAAACATGAGAAAAACCTGTGTTGTTGACTGACTATGGTGCAGTGTATCAACTATTAATCAAACAGTGCACTTTGGCATGAGAGCTAAGTCGTTACCTCAGAAAAACAAAGTTCTATCTGACATTTTGAGCAATTTTGAGTCGCTAAGACCATGAGGTCAGAAACCAAAATGTTCTATCTGCTCTGTCAAAATTGTAAGATTATTCAGAGTCTTTATCAAGATATTCAAAAAATTGCATAAGAAAAAGTTTGACATTTTTAATGTCAAATTTCTCCAAATGAGGTATCGAGCAGATAGAACTTTGTAATTCTTGGGTAGCGAAGTAGCACCTTACCTCGTTAGTTTAGTTTGGTTTTAGTAGAAGTATTACGCGCTCCAAACTGCATAAGGTCATGTGAGCGCCAGAAGATTAGAAGTGTTACAAGAGAGTAACAAACATAAAAAAAGAAGAAGGGGAGATTAGGACGATAGATGTTTGACAGGAAAGAAGAAGCAAACCACACCAGAGCACCCGCCAACCACCCACCTTCTTCACCTTACACCTTACATACACACACACACAAAACTTGACCAATAATAAACTACCCAGAGCCATAGAGCACCATATGGAGTGGAAATAAAGCCCTCCAGAACTGTCTCTCACCTGAATTTCTTTGCCTTGGTTCTCTCCCACACAGTCGACTGTGATGACCTGGTTGCCGTTGGGAAGGATCATGCCAAAGGCAGGGAAGATGGTGAACATGCCAAGGGTCAGCTTAGACTGACCGCTGCCAGCATCTTGCCTGAAGAACAGAGGCAATTGATAAATACTTAGCTGAAGAGAGGGGTGATCAACAAAATGTATAGCAGGTAAGAACACAAAATCAAAACTATCTTGCATCTGCAAAGTATGCTTTTTACTTTTCAGTCCAAGAACTGAGATAAAGATCTGACCCCTTTCGCACCATTGAAGAATGGGAACTAAAACGTTTCAAGGAGACTGTCAGCAAATCCTTCCACCTTTCACTTCTAATGCTCTCAATCTCAAAACAAGTGATCACTTTGCTATGACAAATTATCCTCATACTGAAGAAAAGTAGATGGAGGAAGGCCTTTTTTTTGTTGCACAATTTACTTATTATCATCATACAAGAAAAAGAAGAAGAAGAAGAAGAAGAAGAAGAAGAAGAAGAAGAAGAAGAAGAAGAAGAAGAAGAAGAAGAAGAAGAAGAAGAAGAAGAAGAAGAAGAAGAAGAAGAAGAAGAAGAAGAAGAAGAAGAAGAAAAAGAAGAAGAGGAGGAGGAGGAGGGGGGGGGGGAGGAGGAGGAGGAGGAGGAGAAAAAGAAGAAGAAGAAGAAGCAAGAGAAACAAAACATTGAGGAGAAGAGATACTGATATATGGAATTTTTTGAAAATTCTTTACTACAGATAAATCTCTCGCACTCATACGACCTTATGCAGTTGCGAGTGCCGTAAAACCCCTTACTAAACTAAAACTAAAACAGATAAATCTCCATATTTTCTATTCTCTAAGCCCAATGAGTACTTCTTGTCAATCATGAAAGCTGTAGAAGGAACAGTGAAGCTAGTTTTTTAAGACCAGAACCACATTCTTCTGCAATATATTTATTCATAAACCAATCCCTGACCAGATGGAATCAAGGAAACTATACGCTCCACAAATAAAGTGGTTTCCAATTTTTTAAGTAATCTTTAGTTATCTATCTTTGTGTTGAACTAATGCACATAAACAAGTTCTTTTAGAAACACGAATGATTCAATCTGATATCTTCTTCTTCAGTACAGACAATGAGACAATGCAGTAAAAATTATGGAAACAGTTCTAGTCAACACCTCTCAAAACGACATGAATCAGAAGAACAAGAAACATTTTTGAAATGACAACAAAGACGGGAAGATGTGATCAAAACTAAAAATAAAGTAAGAGAACATCAAGAACAATTAAACATCATCGGTCCGGCAGATACACATTTTTTCCCAATAACAACGCAATAAAGAACGACCTTACGAGGTAGCATCACATGTCAGTTTTCAAAATGGCGTATGATGGGGTTTAAAACTAAGCAGTCAATTGGTATCTTTTTCAAACTGTGCATTTTTGCTAATCTGCCAAACAGTTCTGTAGACTGAACAAATATATTTGACAGTGGTCAGTAGAGTCATTATAACTCATCATAGTGCTATTCCAATGCACCGAGCATACATAGAGAGACTAATATACTATTATCAGGTGAAAATGTCAGCAAAAGCCAGCCCTTAATATCCAGAACCTCGACTAAAATGCTCTGGTCAGTAGTAGAGCAAGTCAGAGTGATAACCACCATATTTTTGCAGTGTGGATAAGATAAATCTTTGCTATAAAAATACGTTATGCCATGCGCCTTATGCTGAAGAAAACATGCAATTGCCACATTCTATCCACATCAAAAGAGATCTGCCCGCCAAAACAAATATATTAAATTTGAAAAATTAGACTTAACTACTGAAAAACGATAAAAAAGAGAGAAAAATAAAAAAACCCATAACAACAAAGTAACAATTTTTAAACTGCTCCAATACAAAACTGTGAGACAATAGAAAACTGTGAGACAATAGAAAACTGTGAGACAATAGAAAACTGTGAGACAATAGAAAAGATGCAAGTCAATCACAATGTGAACTAAGATGGCATTTACAAAAAGTTACTAAAAGCATCTCACTGAGCATAAAGTCCCACATTCTCAGTAAGGGAAAAAAAGTAAAACTTTCACAATTTCACTTTTGCCAGAGGCACTAAAAAAAAAATTAAGTAAGAATTATTAGTTTAATTTAGACTAACCAATAGTATTAAGACTCTCCAATTTCTATTCAGGAGTCCATACTTACATTGTAACACAAAGAGTTAACACTTTGCCATCATATTTAGGGGAAAATCCAAAGAAACTGGGAGGTAAACATCGCCAATCGGCGAGATGAGGCGGCAAAGTGTTAAGCAACTCATAAACTTTTTTTTTTTCAAAAATAAAAAGTTTCACTGAAATATCAAATAATAATCCGTGCTACAAGCTTACTATGTAAGTCCATTTGAGTAGGGAACGAACAACATTGTCCAAAAATGACAAAAATTATATCAATACCTCTTCCTATAGTGTCTTTTTGGTATAATAATGAGAGGCCATATTCAAAATCCTTTTAGTTTTTCTCTTTTGACAAGTTAATCGCAGGTAAATTCAAATTTCCTTTTTTTTTGTACACAAAGATTAAACCTCATTAATTAACACTTTACAGTCACAAGCCAGTAGTACAAAATACCCGATCTGGTCACCCAGGCAGGAGAATGACTGCAACAGACTTCTCGGGCCTGGCGCAGTTCCAGGTGACCGGAACGGACAATTTTCACCCTCGCATTATTGCGCCAAGTGACTGAAAAGTGTTGAACTATAAAAGCCAAAAGAATAGGGTTCGTAACTTACAAACTGCATCATTTACATATTGTTTCTAAAAGGATGTGAATACGGCCCCTGATCTCTAATAAGATTTTTACATTAAAACAGACAAAACTTTGTGACCATATTCTGTAACTGGAACAATGAACAAACAAGAATGAACTGTTTGTGAACAAGTGAAAAGATAATATTATCATACGGTCTAGCCATATTGTTGTTCTCATTTGCAACTGTAGGTTTCATTATGTCAGTGTGTTGGCTGGAAAAACAAGGGACAATTATTTAAGCCATAAGAAATGAGTGAGTCAGGATAGGTTGAAAATGATGCTCCATTCACATCATGGTAATTGGACATGAATCTGCTATATCCGTGAGCAAATTTTTCCAAGAGGTTAAAAAAACCCAACCCATTACTGCAAGAATGCAGGCAATTTATGTACTTTTCTTAAAAGTCCAAACTTACTAATCTCTACCTGTGAGTACAAAAGATAAACAGGAATCATGACCTAAGAACTAAAGGAACAACAGTCTATCCCTTTTAATAGAAAAGGCAAATCACAACTAAAATAAGAAAGGAAATGATTTGAAAGAAGTTAGTGTACAGAGTGAATGTTTGTTAAAGGGGACAACATTCTCTTTTGGTAGCATCTGTCTTAAGAATAAAAAAAACAACTGACGCCTAAGCAGCATACGCAGCAAGTGGACAGCAAGACTGAATCAAACCTTTGAGATTTTTTAAACAGTGATGCTGTCATCACACTCTGAGCAGCCATCTCAAAATTCAGTCCGCTTAAGAAAAGAAACGCATTGTGGAAACGGATAAATGGGGAAAAGTTGCATTTTTTCAACTTGTCTTTCTTGTGTTGACCTAAGAAAATTGTTTATTGGTTGCTTTTGAAGCCCAAACAGAAAGAGCGAGTAAGCAAACATTTAAAAGACTAGTGTATTTTAAAAAGCAAATTATGGTAGCCTCAAGTTCACCATTGAGCAGCAAGATGCAAGGTGCGATCAATGAATGATCAAAACACCTTAGGAAAAGACAAGCAGAATTCTGAATATTTCAAAGTAAAACTTTTGCCCATAATTACAATAGCAATTTCTATTTTTAAAAATACAGGGCTGTATTTTCAAAACATTAAAACAACTTCAGTACTTTCGATCAACCTTTGAATTCTCATGTGGT